CCATGAGGTGAAGAACCCCTGGAAGCTCAGTAGTGGGGAGCATAGAGCGAGGCAGGCAGTCAAGGATGCAGAGGGAGGCTCTACCATGTCACGAGGTCCCTGAATCCCAGGCCAGGAGGCTCAGATGTGAAGCTACAACCACAGGGAAGCCATTAGACCATTTTCAGCAGACATGGAAATGGCCAGATTTCCATTTGGGGCCCTCAGTGAGCTATAAACACCGTGCAAAGCTAACTATTATGGCTAATAATGGTTAAGCACCCTGAGCCATAATTGCCGTTCACATGTCTGTCTCCCACTAGATCATGAAGCCCGTTAGAGTGGGGTCTGTGTGTCCTGTTCATCCCTGTGTCCTCATGCGTGGCACAGAGCAGACACTCGAAACATGTTTGGTGAAATTAATTAAACAGAATGACGTACGTGACACCACCTGTCATGAACTCTCTTGCGGAAGGAAACCCTTGGAGTCGGGCAGCCCTCAACCCAAACCCCGATGCCAGCAAGCAGCCTTGGCAAGTCCCATGACGGCTCTGGGTCTCAACTTCCTCCTCCTCAAAGTAAGCTCAATAATTCCCCCCACTGGGGTCATGCCGGAGTTCCCAGCGCCGTGCCCCACGCGTGTGGACGCCCTCAACAAAGGGCGGCTAGAAGAACACCACAGAGATGCCTGTGCACAAACCGCAAAACCGCTGCCGAGCGCCGACATAAGCCAGCCAGAGGGTTGGTGCAAAGGCACAGAAATGTAAACCTGAGGACCTGGATTTGAATCCTGGCCCTGCCTTGCCCCCAGCTGTGCAACCTCAGGGAAGTAGATCAACCTCTCTGGTTTCTTCATCTGCTCAATCAGGGTATTAACAATAATACCAATTCCAAGGATTTGTTGCATGGACCAAAGGAGATAACAGATGTGAAAGTGCTTAGTGTATACAAATGTGGGCGATGATTATTATGATCATGACAGCTCATAAAACCCGGGTGGAGCTTCCTGTTATAAACAAGTTTTCCTTCACCCCACCCGCAGACCCAGGGGCTGGCTCGATTCTTTGTTCCCAGAAAGGGCATAGCTGGAGGGGCCGGCTGAGCCGGGGCAGAGGCCAGGGCAGGCTTCTCGCTCCCACCATCTGCGCTGCGGGGTCAGCCCATCTGTCCAGCAGTGGGCACACATGTGGCCTCATCTGAGGGCACAGGGTCATTGGGGTCAAGCAGGAGAAAATTGGGGGCAGATGAGGGGAAGGTTCCAGCTTATTTTTAGAAAAGGGGGAAAGAGGAAGACAGGAAGGCCCTTGTTCCTTGGCATTTCCACCATGTGGATGGCAGGCGGGCGGGCAGCCAGGCGGGACTGGAGACAAAGATGCAGCCACGTCTGCGCCTGTCACAGGGTCGCCGCAGGGCCTCAGATGACCACACGGCCCAGCCGGTTAGCAGAGCGTTCTCCCTTGCAGCCCTGGCTGCCCCCAGTGGGAACCTTCATGGCGCGAAGGCGAGGACCCTGAAGGAGACCGCGCCAGCCCAGAGGGCCTGAGCCCGCAGGGCCACATTTGGACATAAGGAGGGACCCTCCAACTGCAGGGTGGAGGAGAGCTTGTGGGGTGCAATCTGATGGCAGAGGGGCCAGCGGGCACTCCCAGAACACGGCCTGGCACACAGTAGGCCCACGAGTCCTCTCCTCCTGGTCTCCCCTGGAGGTCCGAGGTCCTGGCACCTCTCCAGGTTACCCTGCCCTGTGTCCCAAGACACAGCACAGTGGAGCGATGAAGATGGTGACTCTGGCGCTCCATATTGCTGGGACATGAATCCTGGCTCTTCTACTTCCTGGCTGTGTGACTTAGGGCCAGTTGCTTTACCTCTCTGTACCTCGGTCTCTTTGTCTGTAAGTTAGACATAGCCAGAGTTCACACTGCATAGGTTTGTTGTGAAAATACATCGATATATGCAAAGCCCTTGGAACACTCCGCCTGCACTCGGTGCTTGGCACTCAGCAAGTACTCGGCGGCGGATGTTGTCATTGTCAACATACAGTAGGGCGTGTGCAGCTGGGATGGCCTTGTCTGGGGAGGAGCAAGCTAAGCGCGCACAGAGCTCCCTAGCAGGACCCCACGGTGGGGGTGAGGCCACCAGGGTTGGGGGGGTTGGTGTCAGCAAACAAGCTGGGCCAGGCCAGGGGGAGGCGGGAGGCCTGCTGCAGCAGTGGGGCCAGCCCAAGGCTGGACATCGCAGACCCCACTGCGGCTCTCTTGGGTGTCTTTGGAAAGAACTCCAAAAGGGGACAGGAATTTTCCAAATTGCCTGTTTTTCCATTCTCGGGTCCCCCAGCCCCCCATCCTTAGATCGAATTCTGAAGAGGACTTTGAAATGTGTCAGGAACAAAAAGGTAAAAGTCTAAAACCCCAGAGAGGACTGTTAATCCTGAGTCTGGGTGGCAACAGGCCTGCCAGAGCTGCCAGAGGACCTGGGCGCGAGAGCGTGCCTGGGCTGGGGTGCGCGTCCGTGGGGGCACGTGGGGGCACGTGTGCGTCCTCCGAAGGGCACATACCCAGACACGAGGAGCTGACGAGCGGCTGCAGGTATCGAGGGCCACAAGCACCACGTGTCCGCATACATGTGACCGTGTGCTCGTCTCAGCACACGCGTGCCTGCAGCTACCACAGATGGGCTCCCGCGTGAACAGCAGGTGCAAGAACCAGCATGTGTTGGGCATTTCCCAGCCTGACACACAGTAGGTGCTCCTCAGCTTACCCCCTACATGCACTCACCTAAGCATGGACATGCAGGGAACGTACCTGCCCACGGGTATGGTTTGGCAGTGGCTGACCGAAGGGCCACGGCAGCGGCTGGGCCTGGGGCCAGACGAGAAGGAGACGTGAGACCTGCCCTGTTGGAGTCCTTTATGGAGCACGTAGCAAGCCCAGGGCTGGGCCCAGCTCTGGGTCCACGTGGTCCTGGGCAGAGGGCTGGGAATGTGTCACGGACTGGGGCCGAAGGCATGAGATTCCCATAAAGTCAGACGGACAGGGGGAGGGTCTATATGAGGGCATCTGGGCCACGGCTCAGCCCCAGCCGAGGGATCCTCGGGTGGGCAGCAAGCTCAGTATCCCAAGAGCCTAGAGAGCCCCTGGAGACCACCCACAGCAGCCCAGAAGGGCAGGGACCTGCCTGGGGTCTCACAACAAGTTCAGGGCTGGGGCTGGAAAAAGAGGTCATGACGAAGAACAGACTTTGAAATCTGACGAGCCTGGGCTTCATCTTGGCTCTCCCACTGACTAACTGAGTGACCTTGGGCAAGTCACTTGACCACTCCTAACCTGTGTCCTCCTCTCGAAACGAACATTCCACAACTCGAGGAGTGTGGCCAGGACCCTCAGTCAGGGGTGGGTTTGATGATCAGGTCTCCTGACTCCCCTTCCAGTGCTCCTTGATGGGTCCAAAGGAACCTCCACTGGGGCAGCCGAAGGCAAAGAGGCACAATCCCAGGGCTCTCATCTCCAGATCACCCTGCTAAAAGCCCAGAGGCCTGTCCTGGGAGGCTAGAGACCAAGCTTCTAGTCCAGTCTGGCAATGGCTGCCTGGCCTTAAGCAAGTGTCTACTCCTCTCTGGGCCTCAGTTTCCCCATGCCTGCCAGGAGGGGTAGCTAAGGGATCTCTCAGGGATCTCCCCACTCCAAAGACCCCCTGGCTCCACAGGGGAAGCTAACTGAGAGCAGTTGCCACCAGAGCAAGCATGGGGGCACCAGGGAGGGGGGCCTCTGGGCTTCCCCAGCCACCGGACGCTGCCCTGTGGTTTATGTCAAAGTGTCAGCCCCAATCCTGCTCTCCTCCTGGGCAGGGCCACCTTCAGTGGGCCTCAGGAGAGGTGGCCTGTCCAGCCGCTGTGTTTACAGTGCTCAGACGCCGCCGGGAACCTGATCTGGGCAGACCAGGGTGGGCTGCCCCACTGGGCCCACGCTGTGTCCACACTCATTTCCCGGACACTGAACACCGCCGGCCCGCCTGCCGCGCTGAGTCCAGCGGCCCGGCCAGCCACCCGCCGAGGGCCCAGCTTCTTGTAGGCAAGCACCCTGGAAAGCTGGGGAATGCAGCATGGCGCATCGGTCAGCATGGCGCAGGGAGCCAGAGCAGGGCTAGCAGGAGCCGGGTGCAGGGGGAGAGAGGAAGGGGGGGTCCTCCCTCAGACAGGTTCATGCTGGGCTCCCGGGACAAGTGTGCATTCCCTCCCCCCCCGTCCAGGTGCAGGGACCCTACTGACGTGTACCAATGGACCAGCTTGTCCACACACTCAGCCATCTGCACCAGCGTTGGCCAACTCTGGCCCCTGGGCCAAATCTAGCCACCACCCGCCAGAGAAGATTGCCTTTTACATTTTTAAGTGGTTGGGGGGAAAAAAATCAAAAGAACATTTTAAGAAACATGCAAATCATATAAAATTTAAATTTGTGTCCAGGGGCGCCTGGGTGGCTCATTCATTAAGCGTCTGCCTTCGGCTCAGGTCGTGATCCCAGGGTCCTGGGATCGAGCCCCGCATCGGGCTCTCTGCTCCGCGGGAAGCCTGCTTCTCCCTCTCCCACTCCCCCTGCTTGGGTTCCCTCTCTCGCTGTGTCTCTCTCTGTCAAATAAATAAATAAAATCTTTAAAAAATAAAAACTGTTGAATCACAGATCTGTACTTCTGAAACAAATAACGCAACATATTTTAAGAAAAAAGAAAAAGAAGAAGATAGCAGGAGAGGAAGAATGAAGGGGAGTAAGTTAGAGGGGGAGACGAACCATGAGAGATGATGGACTCTGAAAAACAAACTGAGGGTTCTAGAGGGGAAGAGCGTAGGGGGATGGGTTAGCCTGGTGATGGGTATTAAAGAGGGCACGTTCTGCGTGGAGCACTGGGTGTTATGAACAAACAATGAATCATGGAACACTACACCAAAACAAATGATGTAATATATGGTGATTAACATAACAATAAAAAATTTAAAAAAAATCTTTAAAAAATAAAAAAATAAAAATAAATAAATTTGTGTCCATAAATAAAGTTTTATTGGAACACAGCCACACTCGTTCGTTTATGGACAGCCGTGGCTGCTTTGGCCCGGCAGTGGCAGAGGTACAGGGTTATGACGGAGACAGCATGGCCCACAATGCTGAGACTACTTACCCTCTGACCCTTTACAGAAAACATTCGCCAACCTCTGATCTGAATCATGCATGAGTGGCCGTATAAACCTCAGGTCTCAATCTGGGGGACTTCTCACCCCAAGTTTCCGGGGTGATTCCATACTTGGGGGACCCTACATGACATTAAGGTGTAGGGTTGGGGGCAGGGCACTTAGCCCCTGAGCACAGCTCCATACCAATCACACCTGAAGGATACCCCCCACCCCCACAACACCTGACCCTGACCTGTCTGGCCACCCTCCTCCACCTGCCCTGGGTCCCAGGTGCACCCCCCAGCCCTGCCTCCAGGGGCTCCCATCACCTCCCAGCAAAACCGCTTAGGTAGGCCTGGCCACGCCCCCCTCTCCTCCTCCTGACGCTTCTTCAAGACACTCAGCTTAGCCTTCTCCTGCTCACTTGCTCTAAAAACACTCTCAATTCCAAAAGCTCAGAGATTTGGAGGACAAAGCGCAGAAAGGCTTGTGTGTTCTGTGTTCTGCCCTGTCACGTGGCTCCCGGGGGACAGTGAGCCCCGGGCCAGGGGCCTGGGAGCAGGAGGAGAGCCTGGGAGGAAGCAGGCACAGGTGGGCGCTCCAGCCAGGCCACACATGCGGCCCTTCGCCGCGCTGTCCGCAGTCCTAAGTGCACTCACTCTCGGTCAGCCACGCCTTGTGGAACAGCCATTCCTCCACCAGACCCTGTACGAAGACAGAAGTGGGGCCCGCGTGCTGTCCACACTCCAGGGCGGTGGCTGGTGGCAAGGCTTTAAAACTGCCCCTGTGGAAGGAAAACCGTCCTTATCTGTAGGGTTTGCTGCTTTCTGGGATGTAAATACTCCTACCGTGGCCAATTTTCAAGTTGCCCACATGACGCCACTGAAATGGACCTGGGAAGAGACGCACACCATCAAGTGTCACAAGCGGGTCGGAGCCAGATCCAGCCTACCCCTGCTCCCTGGGAACTCAGGCACATAAACATCTGTCACACACAGTGAAGTAGGGGCGAAACGTGAAAAGCAAAAGGGCACGGGAGCACAGAGGAAGAGCACCAAACCTGGCTTGGAGGGTAGATCCTGAAGGGCTTCTCAGAGGTGGCATTTAGATCTGGACCACGAAAGAAAAGTAGGCGTTTGCCGGGCTAGGGATAGAAGGAAGGCTCTCCTGACTGGCTCACCCCCACCCCCGCCCTACTCTCTCTGCACTCCTATGTAAGCCCCACAGCCCAAGTCACACTCAGGATTTCCAATTTGGGGATCTGTTTTCTCCACAGGCACCACAGATTCTTAAACTTAGAAAGCCTGTGCCCGGGCCACACAAGGTTGACGGAGGGAGCTGGCTTCAGTCCACACGAGGGTCCTGACCTGGGATAGGCTGTGTTCTCGCTCCAGATTATTCACTCCCTCTTCCCCATAAGAAGCTTTCTACCTCCCCACGCCCATGGGGGGCCTTCACACTGGACTCTGCCATGGGTCTTGCTTGGGTTGACAGAGTATGAGTGAAGGTGACATTAAGAGCTATTGCGTGGCTCGGTCATTTTTCTTTTTTGCTCTCTGCCCTGAGCACATTGTGTCCCAAAGAGGGACAGCTGCTTCGAGAGGATCCCAGAATAGGGAGGACACACGGAGCAGAGCCACAGTCAGCCCACAGCCACCACAGACAAAATATAATGTGGGGGAAAAGTAAACTTGTTATTGTAAAGCCCCCGTTTGGGGCATGCTATGGTGTGTCTGTTACCACAATATAACCTAGAAAAAGCTGACGAAGGTTCAGCCCATCCCATCTTGAACTGGCTCACGGCCCAACAACCCCGTGAGCCCCCAGAAACACACTGAGTCACTGTGCCTTCCCCAGTTTTAAGCAAAGATTTGTCCAGCCCAGGCTGATGAGGTGAGCCTAGCATCCCTGAAATGTCCAGAATGCTCTACAGTTCTAGGGTAACCCTGTGGTCTTAGGGAAAGCAAAAGGAACCCCTTGTTAGCAGCGTCCCCAGCTCAGCTCTCCCATCATACAGCGGCTATTTGGAAGTGTCTCTCTTGGCACCAAAAAAAAAAATGCTCTCAATCTCAACCTGAAGTCACTCCAGACATGGAAATTCTCTCTTTGAGGAACAGGCCAAATTTAAGGATCTTTCTGTATAAAAGAAGAGGCAAGGTGAGGGGGACAGGGAGCAGCCTCTGTGTCAAGCAACACCAGGGACAGAAAGCGTCAGTCCCGCTCTTGCCCTCGGCGAGCTCCCAGGCTGGTGCGCCGACGGACGCCGTCAGGGTGGTGGTGCTTGGCTATGGGCAAAGGGCCGTGGATCACGGAGGAGCGGCAACAAGCTACCTGGACAGCCAGAAATCCCTCCGGCACAAGTTATGGGAGAAAGGGAGGGATGGCAGATGATGGATGGTTGGGATGGATGGATGGACAAAATAAAATAAAATCTACCCAGAAGCGTCAAAGAACCTTTCACCAAGGACATAGGAAATAGACCTGAAAACAATGAGAATTTCACCAGGCAAAGAATATGGACAGAAGAGATGGTGTCCTAGACAGAGAGAACAGGAGGGCCGTGGCTCACCACATCTTGGAAAAAAGGGAGGCAAGAAATGCAAAGAGCCACAGTGGCACCCTGCAGAGAAGTGACAGCAGAGCCCCACAGACTGAGTTTTGATCCCAACAGTACCACTCTCTGACTGTGACCTTGGGCAAGTCACTGAAGCTCTCCAAGCCTGGGCTACTACTATCAAACCCAAGCCCAGCATGGGGATCACCTTGCCTCACAAGGTTATGGCGGCACCTCAATGAGAGACTGCGGGAACAGCTCCTGGCACACTGTAATCGTGCGGTTCATGATCGTTTCCTCTTATCTCCCTTCCGCCAGGACCAGTTCTTCCAGGGTCTGGGCCCGCCCCGTGCTGACAGGGCTCTGCCTCCTGGCTAAGCCACCACCTCGCCCCCGTTCTGGGACTTTCCTTCACAAACCTCTTACCTCAAGGGATTTCTCTGCCCTCCTGCCCTTCAACCACTCACTCCAGCCTCAGTGCTCAACTGTGCCCCATGCACCAGCCAGCCTCTCGTGCAAACAGCCTCTCCTCTGGAGCAAACACCCAGACATGGGACCAACCACAGAGACTGGTGAGGCAGGCAGCTCCGGGTGGGGTGAGGCTGCCGGCTTTCGTGCCCTTAGGGAGAGTGGCATCCAGGCGGAGAGGCCAGCTGGCCAGGCTGAGCCTGGACTCCCACCCTTGCGGCCTCACCTGTCCTAGACTACAAGGTGCCTGATGCTATTTCCAGTCCCGAGGCCAGGAGCACACGGGCCAGAGCCCAGGAAGGAAAATGATTTGGGATTTGGGACTGCATTCAAAGCTTTCACAGTTTAGCCTGATGTTCAGTAGAAAGTCAATAAATATTTTTGAGCAAAAGAATGCTTGCCCCTGCCCACCACCCCTGCCACTCACACACACGGTTGTGCCCACAGCACCCCCTGCAGCTCACCAGTGACTCACTCCACCTCCCACAACTGGGTCTTTGCTTATGCTCTTCCCTTTACCTGGAGCATTAACCCCCCCCCCCCCCCAACACTCCCCAGCCCCGGCCCTCTTGCCCAGCTCTGCCTCATCCTTCAGGATTGGGCTCAGACATCACTTTTTCCAGGAAAACTTACCAGGAAGGTTCCCCTGCATTCCCATGGGACCTCCACTACCCCAGTCACAGCTCATGCGGCCTTTGGGTGGCCTCCGTGCATTTCTCCCCCTCACTGGACTGTGAGCTCCTCCAAGGGCAGGGGTGGGTCCCCAGCACTCAGCAAGGGGACCCAGCCAGAGGAGGGACTCAAGGTGTATTCGGTAAGTGAATACACATGTTTTCAGATTAGATCATCCCCAGGAGCTGAGTACTGAGTACTCCAGGAGGACACAGGAAGTCAGTCCGAATTGCAGTAACCCTCCAGGCCACCAGGGGGGTCAGAACAGAAGGTAAGCAGGAATCCTGCAGAATGCTCCCTCTCCCCCTGGTGGTCCAAGCACATTACTGCAGCTTACCCTGGGCCTGGCTCCCTCCACGGAGCAGTGGAGTCTGGGGAGAATCTGGGCTGAATTCTGGGACCACAGAATCCTAGAATATTGGAGCCAGAAGGGATTTTACATCTCAGAGAGCTTGAGCACCATGCCTGCCCTCATTTACAGATGGAAAAATTGAGGTCCAGAGAGAGGTACACTACCAAAGGGAAAGATCTGGAACCAGAACCCAGAAGTCCTGAGGAATATAGAAAATATTCTGAGGACAGGAGCGTCCAAAGTGATGGGCTACCAGCCTGCATTACTGCCTGATTGATCCCTAGATTCTCTTTTATCTCTTCATCCAAACTCCACGCGGTCAGAGGTAGGCATGTGGTTCTTAATTACCAGACACTTGTTAAATAATCCATTCTAAGTCTTCCCCTTTAACCTCATCATGTGCTCTGGAAGGTGGGTTCCTGATCTCGCTCTAGCCATGACTGGTGGTGGACTTCAGACAAGCTACCCCTCTCTCCCTATGCTAGCAGTTTTCTCAGTTGCGAACGAAAAGGTGGGCTAGATCCGCAGCGGCAGATAGGCTTCCTTCGGGTGCTGACGTGGATGGGCCGGTCGTGACTGCTTGAGAACTCGAAGGGCAGGAGCTCTGTGGCTTGTCAGTGATGCTCGTCATGGGCTGGGAAGCAGCCGAGCAGATGCCAGAGGTCCGTGAACCCCGACCCAGGCTCCGAAGCCCCTGACACCTTTCCAGTTCTAGCCACCTCGGTTTCTTGCTTTTCTCTGCTGTGACCACCAGTAGCAGTCTCAACCTCTGTCCAGGGTACAGAGTATTCAGAGATCATCAGACAAGATTCCTGCCTGTGAGAAGCTCACGGTTTGGTAAAAGATACTCACCCAAATTCACACACAAACAAGTGGAGAAGTCGGAGCAGCGTTCTTAGGGAGAAAGGGGCTCTAGAAGTCAGGGGTCTGATGCCTCCGTGGCTGCAGGAACCCTTCCGACAGGCAGGTCATCATCGTCTGCTCTCTACCACGCACTGGCATCCCAACCCGAACGTCCGTTCTTCCTGTGGGCACAAGCATCCCCCAGCGCTGCGGCAGTGAACCCTGCAGACCTACAGCCTCGGTCCGTGTGGCCCTGCCACTTCCGACAGATCAACCACGGGCAGGTTCCTCAAGCCCTTGGCTCTCCATTTCCCTCTGTCCCCTGCCCTGCTGGGATTGCTGTGGGGAGTAGATATGCAAGTACGGGTAAATCACCTGGCACGTAGAAGCCCCCAGGAAAGGTGAGCTGGCAGCAGGGCTCCGAATCAAAGCCCGCCTCCTTAGCATTCCCCTGGCTTTGCACTCTGGGGGCACACCGGCATGTCTGTTTCCCCCGCCCAAGGACAGCTCTGTGGGGGAAGGAGGACATCAACAGGACCCCATCAGGTCTTCCCTTCTTGGGACCTGACATGGGCACCTCCACCTGCTGTTCCTATGCACACTTACTACCACGGCGTCTGACTCCAAAGCCAGCGCTGTGGAACGGCCCCTCCGGGGAGGGTCCAGGTCCCCTGAAGGCAAAGGATGGGACCAGGGCCCCGAGCATGTTCCCTGTTTCCCGACCCTGGCTGCCACCCACACTCTGGAGGCCTGGCCTGGGACCTGTCCTTTCCCGCCCAGGAGGGCCCACCTCTACGCAGCCACTCCGCCCCTGCCCCCCTTCTGGTCTGAATGTTTGCTCTTCCACCTCTCCCGGAATCATTAAACATTCTGCAGTGGAAACACAGCCGGTCACGTGGCGAGCACAGCCCGCCAACCTTGGCACTTCTCCTCTGATCCCGTTTGTTTTTCTAATATAAAACTAATATGACATAATGTATAATCTAATTTGGAAATTACCATTTGCTTGGCTGGCCCACACTGCCAGCCAATACCAACAGCAAGAGAAATTATTTAAGAATGTTTCTTTTCCTTCGGAACACTGCTGATAATTTATTTTTCCGTCAGAAGATTACTTTTCTCTTTACGACATTTCCTGCCCCGGTGATTTGCATTAGCGTTCAATAAAATGGTCTGTGCCTAATGTGGGGAGTGAGTCAATATGACTTTCCTTGAATGAAGGGAGGGTGTCAATTGTGGTCAATAGTGGGCTCAGACCTGCTGCCCAGGAACCGGAGGCAGGCGCCAAAGGGGCTTTTAGTGGGGAAGATTGGACAGATCTCAGGAAGTCGCCTGCCCCCTGTCCTATCAGCCAAACGTCAAGGCCGCCTGTAGGTCCAGGTCCCCCCGGGGCCCACCAGCCTCTGGGGGAGTGAGTGATACCCATTTGGCATTCCTGGGCAAGAGGGGTTAGCACCAGGGTAGACTTGAAGGTGAGGGTATGCTTTCCTGAAATTCAGGCTCCTGACCTATCTACACCCGAGTCTCCACCAGAGTGAAGGACCTCTTTTCTTACGGCCACCACGAACACAGACGTGTCTGGGGCTTCTGATGGCACCACCACCTTCAAGGGTGTGGCACCGTCACACCCTCGGCGTCCTGCAGTGCAAGCCGACTCCTTCCTTCACCCCTTCTTCCAACAAGTATGTTGAAGGGACAGTTGGCTCCTAAAGTCTGAGCTGGTTTCGAATCCTGACCCTGCCACTCAACAGCTCTGGGACCTCCGTCAACTTTCTTTACTTCTGCGAGGCCCCATAACCTCATCAGTTACATGGGGGTCATAACAGCGCTGACCTCATTGAGTTTTATAAAGATAGCATGTGCTGAAGTCTGCAAAGGACTTCTTAGCTCAGTGCCTGGCATGCAGGAGAAGCTCAACGGTGTCACTGGTATTAGTAAGCCAGGTACGAGAGATGACCAGAGCTCCCGGAATTGCTGGGAAGGTTCTGGTCCCGGTGAAGGGCTCCAGTCTTAGAAACCAGGCTCATGCCATGGGGCAAGTGCCTCCTGGCTCTGAGAATTAACGACCCCAACACACTGGGCCGTGGCTCACCACGAGGTCATTGCACACACTGGGCAGCCTCCCTGCTTGCTGGCCTGGTTCCTGGAGAAAAGTCTCCCCACCCCTAACCCTTTGCAACAGGGAACACGGGTGAGGGCTTTTCGCACCCTACTGCAGTCTGGGGGAAGGGACAGAAACAGTCTTCTCCAATCTTCTCCCCTCCACCCATTTCTCTCCAAGAAACCCAACCTCCACGTCAGAAAGTTTATTTACCCAATCGAGGCACAGGTCTAATTTCTCTCTGGATGTTCAGAGACTGAACGGATGGGTGTGTGGGTGACGTCCAGACAAGTGAGCCATCTGCTTGGCAGCGTCCACCCTCTCTTCTGGTATCGCTGGCCTGCGAACGGTGGACACAGCTGAGGTGCTCTCTAAGTACTCGGCCTTGTCATTATTCAACCAAGTTAAGTGGTTGTTTTGGTTTCACAGTATCAAGACAACTAGCTCTTCATAGAACTGACTGAATGTTTAGACACAGCCTCTCCCACTTGAGAGGTTGTTTGACAGAACGGAGTGGGTGTTTTGTTACTGCTTGGTGACCAGTGTGACCTGTTGCTTTCGCTTCACTTGGGTTGACTGCTTGTTTGGCCGTGGTGATGGCTGGTTTCACCAAGGTGACCAGTTGCTGTGTCACGGTTAGCTCCCTCTGACTGACTGTTTAAATTGGATGGGTGTTTTGGCATCCATTAACTGAGCTGACTGGGTTTGATTGAACTGACTGGATGTTTGAATGAATTAATCCAAATATTTTGACGTTGTTTGAGGCGGTCGATTGGCTGTTTACAGCAGACCGGGTGTGCTGCTATCATCTGACCCAGCTGACTTATTATTCTGGCATGGTCTAACCCAATGGCTAGATATGGAGCTGGTTCGGTATTTTGGGTTCGTTTAGCTCTAAAGACAGATTGTTTGAGCATTGTTTGATCAAGCTGATTGCTTGTTTGACTGAGTTGAACAATTGCTCTGGTATGATTTGACTAAGTTGACTCGTTATTCAAACTGAATCAGTTTTATTATCATGTGACCCAGTTGCTTTGAAGGTACCCATTTCTGGGGCCACACCGATGGGTTATTTCGGACCAGCTGACTGATATTTAACCAAGTCGACCAGGGGTTTGGGCTCTGCTTGCCCGTTTCAGCTGTTGTGTGGCCCACTTGACTTAGCACCCGACTGAATTAGTCAGGCATTTAGACAGGGCTTCCAAAGCTGACCAGGTTTCCACTGAGTTGCCCCGCTGTTTGGTCTCTGAAGGACAGGAGCAGCGGTAGCCAACACAGGCCTGCATTTGCCAAGAAGTGACCCTGGGCAACTCCCTCGCGTGGGAGCGGGAAGGAGAGGGGCGTGGGGACTCCAAGTCTCGAGCTCACGTTGAGGCAGGTGACAACAGAAGGACTGATGGCGATAGGCTGCTGCGTGCAAGAGAACTCAGGAACCGTGCTCTCCCCAGCCGGGAGACGGATGCATTTGGCAGAGCACTTCAAGAATGCAACCTCTGGGTTAAGTGGTTGAAATTAGGCCCAACGGGGCTGTTTTACTGAGAATTTACAGTTGCTCATAGAACTCAGCCCCGACCAAGTAAGAGTCCCTCCTGCCAAGATGGAGATTTGCTCCCAAGCCAAGGGGATTCACCGGCGAAAGCACACATCCCCCCACCTTTGATTAGACCTAATCGCTGCTCCTCCGAGGGGTGACCATGTGGATGCTAATGTTTGTTCTCCCTGGGGGGGGGGGGGCAGGGGATGTGCCTCTCCCTGCAATCCTCGGGTAGCAGGGGGAGGACTTTTCTCCCCATTGAGCCTGATGAGCTTCCTCCACCGTGTGTGAGGTGAGCGGTGCCACCAAAACATTGATCCTACTGGCAGGTCATGGGAGTGGGAAGGCCCACATCTCGCACTTGGCACATCAGATATGAGGGCCAGAGGGGGCTCTGGAGGGGAGCTGGACTGGCCTCCTCATTTTCCACATGAGGAAACTGAGTCCTAGAGAGAGAAAGTGACTTTCTGATCCAGATTCTAGGGTACTCCAACTAATTAATCCTTTTCAATGTAGACAGGTTAAAATTGGAAAGCCCTGATTAGGGTGCCGGGGGTGGGGGGAACAGTTCTGGTACAACAGCAAGGAGGATAGGGAAAGGAAAGGCTGTAGCCAGGATGAGGCTGGAAATGGAGCCCAGCTGTCTAAATCACTGTGTGATTTAATGCAGGTCCCTTCAGGAGAGAATGAATAAGCCATTGCTGAAAAAAAAGCTAGGGTCACAAGCTCTGGTCACTGAGGCTTAGGGATTCACAGTACCTGGGCCTCCCACCTCTGGTTGTATCAATAAGAGTATCATCATCAGAACAAGGGAGGTGGTGATCTCACCAGACTCCAAATGGAGTTCAAGACAAAGATTAATGGGAGAATGATAATGTGGGTCACAACCAAAAAAGAAAGGTTCGCCAAGCCATGTCCTGGGAAAAACTGGTAAAGGAGGAAGGGCTGTCCTCCCTAGAGAAGAGAAGGCCTGAAAGATGGATCACTGTTTAGAAAACACAGAAAACTTTCGGAGGTTAGGAGAGCAAATAAGCTTAATGAGTACCGGAGAACAAAGATAAGAACAATATGGCACCCAGTATGTACTTGAAAAATATTATTGAATAAAATCACAAGGAGGCCGAATACAAGGAAGAACTTTCTCACAGAGCGAGCTGAGTAGGGGGAGAACTCCCGATCCACTGGAGGCCTGCAGGCAGAATTCCTGCGTTGGGTAGATAGGGAGTCAGATGAGTCGGAAACAACAGACTTGTTACCTCCTTGCTCGAGAAACCATACCTACATTGATGCAACCTCAGTTGTGCTTCCTTGCTCTGGCATGGTCAGCTTGCACTGCACTTGGGTACCACTATGACCTCCAGATTCTTTTCACACAAAGAACTATGAAATATACCTCACCACCATAAACTCAGGCAATCACTTTTCAAACCCATGTTTCAAACGCTGAACCTTTCTAACTTTGGTTCTGCTAACCAGCATCTTCACTGTTCCTTCAGCTCCACGAAATTAACAACTGAGAGTAGCTTCCAGCCCTGGCTGAGGACAGAGCCTTGCTGTCCATTTGGTGCAAAGTAGCCTGAGTCCCAACGCTGGCTCTCAGAAAGCACTGGAGGCAGGCAGGAAGGGAAGTCAGAAAGACAGCGAGGGCACCAAGCCTCCCACTAGGGACCCCAAGAAAATACTGGTGGGGCATGTAATCAGCCTCCATGGTCCTCAGAAGCCCTAGCCAGACAAAGACATATTGTGCCTCTGCACTGTGGGTCCAAGGGCCACAGGCCACGCATCCAGGCAGCCTGGGAAGGCCGCACTGGAACTCACAGAATACCAGTGGGGACTACTCACTGCTCCCTCCTTCAGGAAGATGCCTTTCCAAACAGCCAGGCCTCATCACACACACACATACACACACACACACACACACACATCACCACCACCATCACCCCCAAGGCCACCCAGGGGCTGAGAAGAGAGCATCAGAGGAGGGGAGGTCAGGCTTGCCGTGGACCCAGTTAGGAGGTACTGAGGGTGAAGAAGTGATCACCGTGCAAGAAATGAAGGCTGAGCCCTCAGGCTCACTCCCTGCGTCACCCTGGCTGGGTGGGCCCCCTCTTCACTGCTCCTAAGAAAGCACTGGTAAGAGATCTTGAACGCACACTCCTTTGGTTCAGAAGCAGACAGATGGAGCCCAGAAAGTGAGTGGCAGATCTGGGACGAGAACTCAGTGCCTACCCCCTGTCCACTCTTGCTACCACACTGTGCTGCCCCTTCAAGCTTGCACACAGTAGGTCCTCACCTCTAAAGCTCTAGAAGCCTGCAGACCAGAAAGAGTTTATTAGGTTCCCCAGGCTGCCATAAGAGAATACCACTAACTGAGTGGCTTACACAGCAGAAATGTATTGTCTCGTGGTTCTGGAGTCTCGAAGCCCAAAATCAAGGTGCCGGCACGGTTGGCTCCTTCTGATGGCTGTGAGGGAGAACCTGTTCCAGGCCCCTCTCTTGGCTTCTGGTGGTTTACCGGCAACCTTGGCATTCCTTGCCTTGTGGAAACATCACCCCATCTCTGCCTTCATCTTCATTCACATGGTGTGAGTCTTCGTCCCCAAATTCCCCTTGTTATAAGGACCCCGGTCAGATTGGATTAGGGCCCGCCCTAACGACTGCATTTTAACTTAGTTACCTCCGTAAAGACCCTACCTCCGAATAAGGCCACACTCTGAGGTTCTAGAGGTTAGGACTTCAATATATGAATTTTAGGAGGACGCAATTCAACCCGCAGCAGAAGGGTTCTGCAGTTCCCATCAGGACGCGCACGCGCACACACACACAAGCACACACTGACATCTGGATCAGAGAAGTGATGCTCAACTCCACGCGGCTGCCTTGCACCCTCACCAAGCTCCCGGCCTCGGGCAAGCACCGAGGGACAGCAGTGAGACATGGATCCTGTCCAGAGCAGAGAGAGGCAGATGTTGATTCTGTGTGCGACCACAGACAAGGCACCTCCTCTCTCTGGCCTTGGGGTCCAGCTGAGAAAGGGAATGGCCATTTCTCCACCCCAGGTGAGGGCTACAGGAGCTCAGGGATGGGAAAAGATCATTCCTGCCAAGAAGGGCATGAAGAAGACATTGGTGCCGTGCTGGCCTGGGAGACGGTGTCCTTGGCCTCCCACCACCTTCCCAACTTGCTGGGGCGTGTGTCCTCCCTCCCCTAGTCTCTGACGGGGGCTCCCCCCGTAGGGTGCTCCCTCACTGAGGAGAGGTCTGATAGCACAAGCTCTGCTGAACTCCCATGGCACCATAGGTGGACCCCACTTTATTCACCATCCCCCACGGGACCACCAGCCCCTTGAGTGTGGCAACGGGGCCTGGCTCACTCAGCACAACGACTTCTCGGAGAAGCTGGTCAGTGATGATTTTTTTGGCTGTGTGAGCAATTCTTATGAATCTGCACTCAGGAGTAGGTGGCTGATAGGTGTGCCCTTCCCAGGAGAACTTTCCAACAGAAAAGGCTCTGGTGGGAAAAGAAGCTGCTTTGAGGCAGAGAAGCCAGGGTCCAAAATCAGAACCTGTGGGGCAGAAGGCCCATCCTTGCTGACCTCCATCAAGAGGCTAGGGTCTGTGGCAGTGCTGCATTCTGCCCACGTCCCAGATCTTCCAGCCCCCGCCCCCCCCCACACACCCTAAGGACGCTGTCTCACCTCCTGGGTTCCTGTTCATAACTTCTCGGCCTTTTGGCTAAGATCAAGTGCAAAAGGCCACCGTTGTGCCAAGGAGACAGAAACAGCTGTGTTGTCCACTGAATGTTCAAACAAGCCCACACACCCGTTCTTGTAGTTGTTCACTGACTCCTTGTTTCCCTCACACATCCACCCAGTCATTCATTTGTTACAGATTTGCCAAAACCCACGCCTCCTTTAAATTAATTCATATTATATACTTGCTAATCACGTCCATTCATTTATGCTACTCACTAATTCGAACATTAAATCCATCTTATTTATAAATTCAATGGTCATCTGTAGTAAGTGTCTACTTGGTGCAAGGCACTGTCCTAGGCTCAGGAGACACAGAAGCAAGCAAGGGAGACAAAGCCCCTGCTCTCTCAGAGCTTCCATGCCAGAGGGGAAAGCCAGACAAACGTTTCAAACCTGGATAAGTACAATGAAGGAAATCATTCAGGGTCAAGGGAGTGAGACTCACCAGTGAGGGGCTCCCCTTGGCTAAAGCTGACTCCTCTCTGGGAAAGCTTCTCTGAGGAGGTGCCAGTCAGGCAAAGAGCTTAAAGTTGAAAAGTTATTGCTGATGTAAAGACCAGAGGGAAGAGTATATAGCAGGCAGTGGGAAGAGCAAGGACAGAGACCTGGAGATGGGCGGTGTGTCAGCCTCACCACAGGAAATAGGTAGCGCACACAAAACAGGAGATGTCAAGTAGGGTTTCTTTACAGAGCAGGTAATGGAAAAGGAGAGGATGCAGGGAAACCTAAGGAACAGAGCAATAGCCAGGGACCGGGGACGGCAAAGCTGTCACCATTCTGCAGGGGGTGATGGTGGCTGGAACTTAGAGTCAGTCTCCTTGAGAGAAGTGATAGCCTTTGGTCAAGAGACACAGCCAGCCCAGGACACCTGTAGGGGGAGAGCAGGGGGAGCAAACGCCCTGACCCGCTCTACTCCCTCCTTATGATCTCCTGGGGTGCCTCCCATTGGACAAACCCAACTAGAGGCCCGACTACTAGGGAACCCGCTGATGGAACACACACAGGTCAGCCTCGGGGCCCAGACAGGCCTGTGTCCAGTCTTCCCAGGGGTCAGGGCGGGCCCTTGTGGCTGCAGGGCCGGCAGGGAGGGCCCAGTGGTGTGGCATTGGGTGAGGGGAGGGTTGGGATTCTACTCTGCCTGCAGAGGGAAGCTGCTAGAAGGATTTCAGCAGCACAGTGATATGGGCTGCCTGCTCTTGAAAGGCTCACCTGGTCATGGGGAGGGAAGCTATTTATCCCTGCCGGAGACACGTCCGTGCGCTCACCACCTGTTCACCCACGGTTCGCACGCTGGTTCTTCCTTCCTCCCGCTCGCTCTCTCCGCCTTCTTCCCTTTCAGCAACCTGTCCCTGCTCAGTGCTCTGTGAGAGGCCCGTGGCCGGCCCCACGCCACACACCAAGGCCGACAGAGGGACAGAGACAGTCCTGGGCTACAGAAGCTGCCACCTGAAAGCGGCAGCCAGGTTCTTGGTCACCTCTAACACGGGTGGAGCCTGGGAAGAGCCTGAAGGGAGCCCCGGTCTGGGGAGGTCCTGGGGGCAGGGAGAGGGGGCTGGGCAGCTTCCCGCTGAGAGCTCATAGGCCCTGGTCCCTGCCACCCACTAGTGAGTGGGTCACTATGTGACCTTGGGCAAGCAGGACAGCCTCTCCAAGCCTGTGAAACCGGGGTGCTAAGTCTGCCTGCCCAGCCCTCAGTCCTGCCGAAGGTAAAGCAGAAGTCTCTGGAGGCCACGGCAGGGGCTGACGAGCTGTTCAGCAAACGCACTTCCGCATCATCCTGAGACCCACCTGAGCTATGTCTCCCAGCCTCCCTTAAAGTCCGATGTGGCCACAGGACTAGGTTCCCGTAGATGGGGTGCAAGGGGGTGGTATGTGCCACCCGTGGGCCTGGGCCAGAAACCTGCCTCATGCTCCGTCAGGTCTCTACCCCCACGGGCCAATGGAGCGCAGAGGACCCCAGCACACTAGGGATGGCTGAGCCACCAAATGGAAGTCTCCTGGGTCCCCGAGTCACCGCGTGAGCCAGGAGGATGTGAGCAAGACACCAGCTGACCCACCAAGCCACGGAAATCTGGGAGTGTGGTCAGTCATGGCCGTCCGAGTCGCCGTCAGTGACACGGGAGCCACAAGGGTTGTCTCGATGCGAGGGGTGCTGGGAGCACTGGGAGTGGGGGAGACGTCAGAGGGTAAGCCGGGGCCCAGTCGTGTGGGCACGGGGAGGACTCTGAGTTACACGGTGAGCCTCCAGGCCCGCCTGCGGAAGGCAGGTCCCAGGTGGCGAGCAAGAGTGCCCCTTGGCAGTGAGGGGGCAGGGAGAGGCCCGAGCCGGGGACAGAGCCCCAGGCAACCAGGCAGGAGCGGCCTCTACCCAGAGGGTGAGGGTGAGGAGGACAAGGAGGGTGATCCCCATTATTTAGGGCAAAGCTAGAAGCAGTCCCTGTGCTTCCCCCCCGCCTCCACCCCAGCCCACTGAAGAGGGGGACTCAGAGAGTCAGGCAACCACAGACCATCTGGGTAAAGCAACCCTCAGGGGTACCTGGTCCTCAGGGTACCGATGGGGAAACTGAGACCCAAGACCACAGACACGCCCGAGCTTGCGGAAAAGTGCAGCCATCACGGGCGAGCTGGGAATCCGAGGACCTGGCGCCAAGAGCCCCTCTTCCTAGTCGGCCCATGACCTTGAGAACAAGATGAGCCACCTTGAGTGGAGGTTGTGAGATTCCATGAGTTAAGGCAGGACATGCCCAACACGTGGCACGCAGCGGGCCCTCAGGAGAAGATGCTCAATACGGCACCTCTGCCCTTCCGAGGGGGTGCCCCGGCACCTGCCCTGCCCAGCTGCTTGGCGGGGACCACGTGCAGGCCGACCGAAGCCCGGGCCAAGGCCCGTCCCCCCCCCCAAGCGCCCTACCGGCTCCCCGGCTTCAACCCGAGCGCCTCCGGGGTCCTCAGGACGGCTTCACTGACGGGGCAAGGACAGGAGACAGCGGGGAGGAGAAAGGAAGGGGCAACAAAGGAAGCAGGGCAAGAAAGAGGAAGAGGCGGGAGAAAGTCCAGCTTGGGTTGCGGCCAGGCAGCTGCGGAGGACACCGTTCGCCCCGTGTTAGGAAATCACAAGGGAGGGGCGCCAGGGTGGCTCGGTCGTTGGGCGTCTGCCTTGGGCTGGGGTCGTGATCCCAGGGTCCTGGGATGGAGCCCCGCATCGGGCTCCCGGCTCGGCGGGGAGCCTGCTTCTCTCTCCCGCTCCCCCTGCTTGTGTTCCCTCTCTGTCTCTCTCCGTCAAATAAATAAATAAATAAAATCTTTGAGGAAAAAAATAAAAAGAACTCACAGGGGACATTTTTCTCAGGCCTCAACACCACAGGGATTTGCACTTCTTCTAAGCAAAGGGCCTGTGTTTATCTCGTGGACACTGTAAATGGCCTATTTGCTTGTGTCCGCTCTGCTGGGAAGCCAGGAATGAAATGCAGGCAAGACCTTAGGGCAGGAGTCCCTCCAAATCCATCCTGCCCTCCTCCAAATCCATCCTGCCCTCCTCCACTTGGCTCTCTTTGCCTTGATGGCTTATTGCTAACTTTATTTTCTCCTCCGTTAGTGTATGTTTTCGTGTAGGATGCTTTCTGTCCTTCCTGGGAGGAGGAAGGGGCTCCATCCCTGCCCTGCTCGGACCCACTCGACTCCTCCCTCAACTGAACCTCCTGCTGCCATGAACACAGCCGCCGAGCTGACCAGCATTCTCGAAGGCATGTCCGGCTATCAGCTTACCCTGGACTGAGGGGCCCAGATCATCATTTGGGCTCACAGAAGACCACACTGCAGGAGACCTTCAAGGAAACAGGGGAGACAGGAAGTGCGGGTGGGAAACACTCAGCCAGGAAACCGGAAGCTTCCCTTTTGCCCATCCACCTCCACAACCTCCCAAGTCAGCCCCATACCCGTACCTGATGCCCAGAACTGCCCACCACCTCCACCTCCCATGACTGCCCAGGGCCTAGGACATGGGATTTGGCTGGGCTCCCTGCCCCCCATTTTTGGGTGCTATCTTAGTTTGCACTGTTACAACAACTTACTAGAGTAGGTCACTTAAACAACAGAGATTCTTTCTCACGGCTCTAGAGGCTGGGAAGTCCAGGATGAGCGCGCCAGCACGGTCAGGTTCGGTGAGAGCGAGGCCTCTTCCTGGCTCGCAGACAGCACCTGTGTCCTCACGTGGGGAGGGTGGGGCAGGAGAGGGGTAGCTAGCTCTCCCCGGTCTCTTCCTAGAAGAGCATCAATCCCCTCAGGGAGGGCTCCACCCTCATGACCTCATCACCTCCCAAAGGCCCACCTCCTAATACCATCCCAGTCTGGATTAGGGTTTCAACATATGAATTTAAGGGGGACACAAACATGCAGACCCTAATAAGTGGGGAGGCGACAGATCGTAGGAAGTGTTCCACCTGACCCTTCCCAGAAAGCCTGCAAAGGCCCTCTTCATCCCTTGAACTCCACTGGTGCCAAAGGGCAAACCTGGACGGGTCCCTTCCCCACTCGAGCTGAAACTCCTACCTTTAAATGCAGGCCAGGTGGTGGAAAACGTCTAAAGGTCACACCGGACACCAGCTCTGCTCTTCCCGTCCGGCATCCGGTAACCATGCCCTGAGCTGCAATCCTGTGCCTGGCCTTGGTGACAGAGCTATGGCGACACCACAGGCTGGTGGGTGATAAGTACAGTAACAGACATGAGGGTGAGGTGCTGTCAGAGCAAAGCAGGTACTGACAGGCTGCTTAGGAGATCAGAGAAGGCTTCCCAAAGGAGGGAAATCTGGGCAGGGCCTTGAGGGCTGAGTAGAAGTTTGCCAACATCACAGAAAAAAATAAGACTTTTTCTATAGCAGTTTATTTGTTCACTTCCAGTGTCTGATCTGGTCATCCAGACTCATGACTCAGCAAGCAGGGATTTAGAATATACAAATGTTTAGCTCTGGAAGTCTCTTCAGAGATTCTCATTTTCTGATGGAGATGATGGGGGCCCAAAGCAGGGAAGGGACTTTCCCAAGGTCATACAGCTGGGGATTAATGAGCAGATCCTGAAATCTGAGTCTGGATTTCCAGTCTAACGTTGTTCCCACCACCAAGAGCTCGCTCACCGCCTGTTCCTTTTCTAGCCACCATCTGGGCCTGACCAACTGCCCTGTCCCTCCCGGCCAGACTCAGGACAAGTTTTATAGGGAGGTAACTGATGGAGGTAGGGGGTGGGGAGGAGAGGGGAGAGTTTAACCCCACAATGTTTTCATACTTGAGATCTGAAAACACGATTTCCCCAGCAAAGAAGCTTAGCATTAAGCGGAAAATCGGCTTCGAAGGATGTGATATCATTTATAACAGTACATTAAATGCAAGCTGAGAAGCTGATATATTTTAGGAACGTTCAGCACACTCTAGACTAATAAACATTTTACAATATTATTGCACATGTTCATTTCACTTTGTACAAATAATCATTCCCTTCACATCTAATAAGTCTGTTTGACACATAAGTGGTCTTGGGCGAACACCTCGGAGGGCCTTGTTTTTCTGTGCATTGATCATTTATTTGTGTAGCCCGCCAGGACAGTGACTAATGATTTTGAGGGTTTAAATGTCTTCAAACATCGTCTTTGTCTCCTCGCCTGTTATCGTATAAACGGAAAATAATTTCATTTTGGCCCCAGAATGTATTGTTTTTCATGTATGAAAAATGCCTGCCCCTTCCCTGCCTGGCGTGGCATCAATCAGTTTAAAACAATATTTGGAGGAGCCCTGGTCTGCAGGTCCTCCAGCAAGCTCTCCAGGTCACTGGGTGACAGGTCCAAGCATCCCACTTACTGGAGAATTTCCAAACAAACCTGCCACCACCACTGTATCAGCCCAGAAGCCTCCTCTCCCTGCGAGGTGAGCGTGAATCCTTCCCCCTCAAAGGCCCAGGGAACCGAGATTTGCTACTGATAGCCTTCTTCTCCTTCTCCCTCTCCTTTTCCTCCTTCTTTCTTTCCAAGAACATTCACAGAGGTCTCTGAGACCCGGTGCTGCTGGGGGAACAGAGAACCCAACACAATCCCAGCCTCCACGAACTTAGAATCGGGGGAGGCCACCACCAGCTCAAATAACTCCTGCGTGGGATAATAGAAAAACGTGCCCCCTGTGGGTAGGCTCAGCCACTTGAACCTATCACTCGGAGAGTAGGTACCTTTGTATGAATTCGGGAGGGGGGGGACACTCTGTCCTCTGGGCAGAGGCAGCCCTGATCAGGGCACATCCCTCAACTGGGTGTTCTTGTGCAGCATGCAACCTAAACAACGGCACACAGAGGCCACCCTGGTAAAGTGGAGGTGGAGGTCAGTATGCCACAGAAAGACCCAGAAACAGTGCTATGATATGTATGTCCCGTCATCAGACCAGCCATTAGGAATAGAAACCCAGAGGGAAGACGGTTGACAAGGCTCCATGGAGGAAGTGACCTCTGAGTTTGGCCTTGAAGAAAAAGTAGGAAGTAATAGGCAAAGATGGGGAGCAGCAGCCCTCACCCCAATGCGACAGGAAGAGCCTGCCCACACAGGCATGAGGCCAAGGAAGCTAGCCATTTCGAAACACTGAGCATGAAGAGACAGAAAAGAAGTAGGGGAAGGTGAGAAAAGACATCAGTGTTTGTTGAGTGAATAAATGGCTGGATGGACAGATGGACCGGTGGAAGGACAGACAGATGGACAGATGGATGGATGGAGACAGAGATTCTATTAAGAAGTCTGGGATTTCTTGATTGCCTTACTAACAAATCTGTACTTTATTCCATACGCAGTGAGGTGGAGGAATTCCCAAAGGCTCTTGAGGTGCTAACTATACTGTAGTCCCTCCGACCAAAATGAACTGGGGGAGAAAGTCAGTCTCGGTTCTGAGGGGCATCGCCCTGGTACTCAACTGGAGTAACCCTTGGGAGTCGTCTTATAAGGAAAAGGGAAAGAAGAAAAATAATGTTTATTGAGCATTAACATCACTTGAGGATAAATTATATAGCCCCACCCAACCAGCCACAGGAAAATGAGACTCTATCCTCCTATGGACTGCTCAAGAGCAGGAAATCTATTTGATTCATTTCTGTGTCCTCAGCTCCCAGGATAAGGCCTGGCCCAGAGTAAAATTAGAGAGTATTGGAAAGATAGTAAGTGGATAGATGAATGGACGGATGGATGGATGGATGGATGGGTGGATAGATGGATGGAAGGACAGATGGACAGATGGATGGATGGATGAACAGACAAACAGCTCTCTCTTAAGGGATATAAACTTTGGACTTTACTCCCCTACTTCCAGGAAGGGCCTCCTGACCTGGGTGTGTGGGGGGGATTCAATCTTAAAAACTGAGGCTCTTGATGGCACAGAATAATGGAAGATAACTTATCGGTGCACAGACCTACAATCTGATTCATTCAATTTCACTGAAGTGAAGGCCAGATGATGTGGGACATTATAACCTGGGCTGTGGTTCAAGGAGAACCCCAGTTGGAAGTAATGAGGTCACAGAAAGTCTTGCACACAAATTTAATGGGCTTGACCTTTATCATGAGGCTAAAGGGGAGCTGCTGGAGGTTTCTCTGGGCATTACAAGGAGCCAACAAATCCCCTGAATCCTCTAAGTGGAAATGAAATCAAAGATTCAGATACATGAACTGAGGTATTTCTCCTTGTCCTTTCTACAAAGGCTGATCAAAAAAGCAGAAGTTACCTTAGGTCCCCATTCTGGGGCAGAGGTAGGTATTGTCAGACTGACTGGAGCCTGCACTCAAGCCACCCAAAAATTGCCCCACAGCCCCATCTTATGTTCTCTCCCAGCTTCCTATAGTTCTCTGGCCCCTTCAGACTCCCCTTGGACATAACTGAACATGCTGTGTCCATGAGGATGGGGAAAAACATGGTCCTAGAGTTTGAACTAAGTCCTCTTCTACCTGCTTTAGCCTCCGAGCAGGTAGAGATAGATGTCCATTAGCAGGTACCACATACCAGAGGACCAGTCATATAAGTCATTTCTTAATTCATTTAATAAGTGCTTATTGAATACCTATGTTCAATCAGGATTTGATAAGAAGATAGTAGAGAGGCCCCTGGGTGGCTCGGTTGGTTGGGCATCCAACTCTTGATTTCGGCTCAGGTCATGGACTCAGAGTCATGGGATCGAGCCCCATGTTGGGCTCAGCACACTGGGTGGGGAGTCCACTTGAGATTTTTTCTCTCCCTCTCCCTCTGCCCCTTCCCATCTCCCACCCCCCACCCCTGCTCGCACATGCATGAGCTCTCTTTCTCTCCCTCTTAAATAAAAAATAAATAAATCTTTTTGGGAAAAAAAAGGTACATAGAATAAGGGATTTATTGTAAGGATTTGATCTTATGCAATCATGAAAGCTGGTTAGATCTTCTACGTGCTTCCATGTCTGGTCTAGAACCTGAAGACCCCAGGGCAGGCAGTCAGGAGGCGAAGTCGCTGTGAATTAGGAGAAGGAAGGACCAACTAGAGCCGCGAGGATTCTTACCACTCTAAGCTTCTAACCTCAATGACTGGATGTCCTCTAGGAGAAGCTGGTGCTCTTTGGCACAAAGCTGCACATTCAGCAGGTCCAGAGGTCAGGGACGCTAAAGCAGGAGATGGGGCGAGAGCTGGAGGAGCCCCGGAGCCCATGAAGCCCAGCCAGCAGAGAAGTGACGGAGTGTGAACTTGGGCACCCCCCCCACACAAAATACGGCCGCTGCTGCACGGCCTTCCAAATCTCAAGCAAAGCATCTCCTGCAGCCCCCGCTAACCTAGAACCATGCAGGGAAGGGAATTCTGGGAAATGGGGCTCCAGGGTAGCTAAGCTGTCACGATCGAGAACCACCGAAACTGCTGGGTGCCTGGCAGGGAACCAGTCCGTGGAGACCAGCAGTGAGAAGTCAGAGTCCCTGCCAACACGGGGCTTGATCTCGTGACAAAGCCAGGTCATTTTTAAAACGCCACAGTCTGATCAATGTTACGGCAGGACACATTTAGTTACTGACAGTCTACCAATGAGAAGCAGTGAAGTAATCAGGATTATGTTCATACCCAAAGTAACAGTGGCTTAAACAGAGTAAAGTTTCTCTTTGGCTTCAAGGACAGGCTGCTATGATGGATCCTGCATTGTCAGGGACCCAGTTCCTTCTGTCTGTATGTCCATGTATGGTTTCATTCTCCTGCTGTCACTTCATGATCCTAGATGTCTGATGACTGGTGCTCTAGCTCTTAGGTCAGAATCCCAACCACCAGAGAGGAGGGCGGGGAAGGGATGCGCATGCCCACTCCCTTCTCCCTTTCAGGACGCTTCCAGGTCGCTCCCCACACAACCACAGTCACTGGCCAGAACTCGATTACACAGCCACAGCCAGCCACAAGGGAGCCTGGAAAACATGGTCTCTTCTTGCTGGCCATGTGCTCAACTAAATTTGGAGGATCTATGACTCTGAAATAGGGAGAAAGCAGATGCCGCAGGTCAGCCTGGGATCTCTACTTCAGGGCACATTCAATACTGGTCAATATCCCAGATTCTAGAATCAGACAACCCTGAATTTCATTCCTAACTTTGCTACTTTCTAGCTGTGTGATGTTGAACATTCACCAAGACTCCAGATCTCTCCGAGCACAAGGGATCATTATCAGTACACACCAGGCACTCTCCTCAACACTTTTCACAGACTGTTATTCTTAATCTTCACAATAAACATGAGTTAAGGAGTGTTATTATCCCCATTGTACAGGGG